ACAGGGAACAGTAAATGTGAAGACTTTATATGAAAGTGTGCTTGACCTGTCAGAATTCCAGTGAGGGGGCCAGTGGGCCTGGAGTATACTGAGCATGGAGGAGGCTGGTAGAATATTAGATCAGTGATGTAGGAAAAGCCAGGCTATTTAGGGCCATGGAAGCCATTTTTATTTTTAGTGAGATAGAAGCCATTAGGGCCTCAAGTAGAGGATCGGTGTCCTCTGTCTAGTTTACCACAGTTCCCTTCTGGCCACTATGTTGAAAACAGATCAGAGATGATGGATGGAGGCAGTAGGTAAGGAGTTAGTTTGATGCTAGGATTCAGTGTGGAGACTTTACGTTTGAGATAATTATTATATAGTAAGTGGTGAAATCAGGTAAGTATTGGGTTATCGGAAAAGTCATAATGCATATTTGCATTAAAAAATAGAAAACTACATTAAAAAATAGGAAAATACATCATGACTTTTCTGACAACCCAGTAGTTCAGTGTGTAAAATCAGTTTGGGGAGAGGTCAGAACTGGAATTAGCTCTTTGGGATTCACCAGGCTTATAGATGATGTGTAAAGCCATAGATTGCCCAGGGAGTGAGGGCACATCAGGAAGAGCAGAGACCTGAGGCCTTGGTTCTTGTGGTGAGAAGTTGGCAAACTGAGGAAGTCTAGTAGAAGGGAATGAGGAGGAAAGCCAGGAGGAGAACCAGAGAGCATGCAGTCCTACGATTCAGGTGAAGAAAGTGTTTCAAGGACGAGGGGACAGTCAGATTGTGTCCAGTCTACTGAAGAGTCTAGTATAGAAAGATGAAGAGTGAGAATAACCTCTGGATTTGGCAAGTGGAGGGCATTAATGAGCCTGTCAGAAAGCTATTTGGGTGCCCCAGGGGGTAGGTGAGGAGAGCCTGACTGAGAGTTCAATAAAGAATGGGATAAAGGATGTAAACAGTGAAAATGGAAATCAGAGGGTCGTAACTACCAAAGGGAGAAGAAAATAGAAGATAAATGGAGGGAGAAGTAGATTTCAAGGGACGTTTGCTTGTGTTTCAGTGTGGGGTGTGTTTGTATGCTGTGGAAGGTCTGTTGGATGTGATCTGGTAGCCAGGGAATAGTTAAAAATGCAGAAGAGTCAAGGGGACAATTTCAGGAGTAAAGTGAAAAAGTAAGGAGGTTGGCCATAACACACTTTACACAAGAGTTTTTGGAAGATTTTGTAGTGTGAGCATACGGAAGTTCTTTTCTGATTATTACAATTTCTCTCTTTGTTTTTCCTTTCTCTTATTAAGGAAAAGATCTTGGTCTGGCATTTGAAATACCACAGCATGTGAAAAACCAAGCCTTCTTTCCTGCCTGTGTTCTGAAGGTAATGAAAAATCTAGTTATAGAAAATTTTCTGTGATTAAAAGCTACTTGACTTTCACTTTGTGCTAAGCAACTTGCTGTTATCCCAAGAATTTCATTTTTCTTCTTTATTCAATCTAGAATGCTGAACTAAAATTTAACTTCGGTGAAGAAGAATTTAAGTTTCCTCCAAAAGATGGTTTCGTTGCTGTTTCCAAGGCACTGGATAGTTACGTTGTCAAATCACAGCACTCAGGTCGGTATTGAATGTGAGAGCGGGAGGGTTCTATTGTAGAACAGGGCATTGGTTAAAACTCCAGTACGTGGGGCTTCTCGTGGTGAATTACAGAGACCTCCCTGACTGGGTTAGTCACATATCTTTATTAACATAATAAAATTGTTTCAAAATCTAATTAATAAATTCTGAGTATTTGGGCCCAGTTTAGGCATTTCAGGGATCCTAATCATGATGGTAATGATAGCTGATACTTACAGAAAATGCGCGTAATTACTAAATACCACTGGCACGCTGTTAAGTGCTTTTCAAGGAGTATGTAATCTTCATAACAACCCTATTCTGCAGCAGCATTCCCATTTTACAGAGAACCTGAGGAATAGGGTCTTGAAGTAATTTGCCCAAGGTCACAGAGCAAATAAGTGGTAAAAATGAATTTAGATCCACGCAGTCTGACTCTCAAGCTCACAGTCTTATCCATTGTACTGAGTATATATTTCAGTTATTTAAGGTAAGTACATTTCATAGCTCGTATATCATAAGATAGTTATATCATTTTTACAGACATATTAATCAGTCGTAATTGTTCTAAATAGGTTTAATTTCAAGAAGCCTTAGTTCATTTTAGGAGTTTATTTATTTAGTTTGACTATCTCTGATGCCTTTTGAGTTATTATTTAAAATGTTTATATTGGAATATTATGTTGATATTTTATAATTAATGGCATTCTGACACGCGATTTGAATGCACTCTTATCTTTTTCATCGCCCTAAGGGAGTGCACAGGTGTCACAAACAAAGTTTCTCCCCAACGCTCCAAAAGCACTCATCGTCGAACCTTCCCGGGAACTAGCTGAACAAACTTTGAATAACGTCAAGCAGTTTAAGAAATATATTGATAACCCTAAATTAAGGTAAATCTTCCTTTAGTTTAGTAATGCCTATTGTTTATAGTTTAAAGTGTTGTTGAGGAGGATAATTTAGAAAAGCACGGGGCAGAAATAGTGTGTATGCATGATACACATGTGTGAGTCTGTAAAGGTAATTCACTTTGATACATTTACTTGGTAGGTGATGAATTTGGTATTTGCAAAGTAAGAAGCAAATTGGGATTTTTTTTATTATGTCTTTTATAAGAAGAGTCATGGTTAGTCAAACAGTACTGGCTAAAAATTTTCGAAGGAAACATTTCACTCATCAGGTTAATTAGATTCATAGGAAATGAACTGCTTATAGGAAGTGTACTGCTCTGTTTCTAGCATGTTGGTAAATGTGGCGAAGTTGATTCTAGCCCTCCCTGCAGAGATGTTTTCTTCCATGTGGCTATTCGGGCTGATCCTGTCTAATCACAGGACTCTTTCTGTCCATGAAGGGAAACCATTCGTTGAGTGATCCTGTGGAAGGAACTTCTTGCTCAGAAGCAATTTCTTTTCATTTGAGGCAGGCCATTACCGTATAAGTAAACTGCTCTGTTAGTTGATTTGATACTTGATTTTTGTTAACTTAGCTGTTAATTACTATTTTTATTGAAAAATAATTCATTCACCATTAAACTTGTAATTTAAAAGTTCAAGAGACCAGCAGATGATGTAATGGTTACGTCACTGGACTCTCACATGACCAACTGCAGTTTGAGTCTTGGACCCAGATGCTTGAAACTCATGTCAGGCACATGTGCGTGTGTGCCCAAAATCCTGAGAGGAGAATGGAGGAGAAGGGATTGTCATGTGGTCATCTTCCCTGCGGGGTGACTTCTTGTTTTCTGTTGTTCTGTCTCTCTCTGTCTCTTTGGCGAGTGTACACACCCTATTCTCTCTCCAGAAAATAAAAATGTGGTTTGGGGCCAGCAGGTGGTCTGGAGGTTAAAGTGATAGATTTCCACAGAGCTGGTAACATGGTTCGATCCCCAGACCTGGCAGCTTGAAAATCATCCCAAGCGCATGTGCATGCATACGTGTTCCCAAGATCTTGAGAAGAGACTGGAGAAGGGATTGTGTGTGGCCATCCCCTCTGGGGGTGCGATTTCTCCCCCTCTCTCTCACTCTCTCCTTCTGTCTCTGGTGAGTGCACACAGCCTATAGAAACAACTAAGAAATAAATAAACCTTCCATCAAGTGTCTACCACTGACTCCACTTTATAAAGGTATGTAGTTCAGTGGTTTCTAATATTTTCACAAGGTACTGTAACATCACCACTGTTTAGTTTCAGAAGCTTTGAGTTTTTTGACATCTCAAAGGCCTTTTTAATGTCACTCTTATTTACAAGTTGAACAAACTCATTTAGGAATAAATTACATTAGGTAAAAGCATCCCTAATTCTGCCTGAGGACTGGTCCATGTTATTCATTCAGTGAATGCCCTCTGTGTGAAGTCTTAGGCTAGGGATCTAGGCTACAATCCTGAGAATTAGTCTTTGAGTTCAATGAATTAAGTGTAGGAGTAGGGATAGCCTAAAATGAATGTGATAAAGTGCACCATTTTACATTCCTTCTAGTACCATGTAGGTGTGCCAGTTTCTCCACATCCTCTCCAGTGCTCGCTGTCTTCGTGAGTAGACCCATCCTAGTGGTTTGAAGCAGTAACTTATTGTGGCTTTGATTTGCATTTCCCTAACAGCTGACAATATTAAACATCATTTCATGTGCTTCTTGTTGGCTACTTGTATCCTGTCTTTGGAAAAGTATCTGTTCAAATCTTTTGTCTTATTTTTCATGTGGGTTGTCTTTTTACTGTTATGTTGTAAGAGTTGCCTACATACATATTTTTTCCTCCTTTTTTCAGTTTTTGTTATAGGGCTGTGCATTTGCCAGAGAGAGACAGACAAAAAAAGAGAGAAAGTGAAAAGGCACCCCCCAGAGTAGGATGGCCATACCCCAGTCCCTTCTCCTCTTGGCATTTTGGGCACACATGCATCTGTGCCCTGCATGCTTTTCAAGCCACCGGGTCTAGGATTCGAACTGTGCAGTAGACCATATGGGATTCAGTCACCATAATCACCACACCACCTGCTGGCCCTATTTTTATCTATGTAATGCTATGTAGTAGATATATGCTCTGAAAATATGAGCAATCCTAATTTCCACCAAAAATAAATGGATACAATGTGAAGCAGACTGACCTTTCTAGGTTATCATTCTGATATTTTATTTCAGGGAACTTCTGATAATTGGAGGTGTTGCAGCACGGGATCAGCTCTCTGTTTTGGATAATGGGGTAAGTTGTACTTTTAATTTTTAAAAAGTAACATGAGTTGTCATTTGGCAGTATAGTTCTGTTTCATTTCAAGAAAAATTAAATGAAGCTGAAATTAGTACAAAGTCAAAAGCATTTGTTCAAAGACATCTAGAATATATATCCTTTCTTCTAGAAGTATACAGAACCACTCATGCAAAATTCCAGCATACGTGAATCTTTTTACCTTTGGACACTTGACAATTTCCTTCTAGTTTTCATGAATTAAGAGTCATTCTTTTTAGAGATCATTGAAACAGAAGAAATTGAAATTAAGAATAAAAATGGAAATGAATTAGATTGAAGAGGAGATTAAAAGTTTTTGCAATGACCCTTGGGAAGGATGAATAATGATAAACAGGTGATATTGGTTGAGTGAGAAAAGAGGAGATTCAGATATGTGTAAGGAGAAGTCTTAAGACTGTGTGGGACCAGCAGATGGCGGAATGGTTATGTCGCTGGACTCCCACATAGTCTACCATGTTTTGAGTTCTGGATCCAGCAACTTAAAAGTCACACTGGCTGCATGTGCGGTCAAGATTCCTGGAGGAGAGAAGAATGGATTGCAGCATGGCCATCCCCCTGAGGCGGGGAGTGATTTCTCACTTTCTGTTCTGTCTCTCTGACAAGTGCTCATACCCTATAACCAAAAAAAAAGAAAGAGAGAGAGAGAGAGAGACTGTGCTTAGGCATGCCGTTATGAATAACAAAGCTAAGCCTGTCTATTACTGGGGAAGAAATCCCTAACTACTCAATTCTATGAAAGCAAGACTTCATAAAGTATTTTAAATATATGAAATGGATTTCTCCTTAACAGTTTTTAAAAATATCCCTAAATATTTAATCACTGAATATAAAGCACCTAATACAGAATCACGGAAAGCAATTATGTCCTTCAAGTTTCATTGGTTTCTTTGTCAAACTAAATTTTATGTTGAATGGACTGTAGATTTGACCTTGTATTGCACACTGAGAGCTAGGTATCATATTACTGTACTTGTTCTAAGAATAAGTAAGTAATGCCATTCTAAAATGAGTAATATTTCTGTGATATATTTTTATTAATGTGATAAGTTTTATTTTAGAGGTCGTAAGAGATTTAATAGGTTTAGTCCTAATTTGGGTTACTCAAACCCAAACTCATCTTTCTCATAAGATACTAAGTTAGCTCAACTCCTATTTCACAACTACAGAACTTGAGGGAATTAAATCTACTTTAATTAAATCAGTCACAGCTCAAAATATAGTACTGACTGAAGCCAATGACAAAGTAAAGTCACTGTTACTCCATAGCTTTCTTGGCAGAATTTAAGTTATTCTGCTTCTTAGAGTATCTAATGTGTTCTCTTGCTGGCCTTTTTCCATCTTACATTTTCTACCTCTGTTATATTCAAGCAACTTCTAGCTCACCCTGAGCCCTGTGTTTTGTCTTACTCTAGTGCCGAAGTCAGCTTTGGAGTGAGAGACTAGAGCTATTTTAGTTTTCTTCTAATCTGCTAAAGTTGCAGTATTATGCAAATGTATTTCAAGCCTGTTGGAGGAGTTCTTGCTATTAAGCAAGCCATACAAATATTTCTCACAGGCTTTTCTAATCTAACTGATCTTTAAAAGAAAAAGAAAAAAACATTTGAAACCTTGTCTGCTTTCATGCCCACTTTACCTACTGACTTTGAGGAGAGAGGAAGCTCAGGCTTGGTCGGTTAGCATCCTGTGCTAGAGATGTGCACCCAAAACCAGCGTGGTCTCTCGTCACTGCCGTGTACAGCACCCGTCATGGTGCTTGGCGCATAGCAAATTATTAAAACATTGAAAAGATGTTTATCTCTTCAGATTGTCTCATCTGGTTTGAACTTGATGTCAGTGCCTATCAATAAAGAAGAGCAGGGCAGATGGGGCCCATGGTAACCCATGATTTGTGGGGCTGGCCACGTGGGAAAGTTCCGGGTTCATGTGGACCTCCCTGAGTATGCTGGGCACGCACATGCCCATGGTCCAAAGCTGGCTGAAGCTGGGTGAATTGTGGCATTGACACCCTGTTGGGATGCTATCTTCTTATTTCTCTTGCTTACGGAAGAAATAAAGAAATAAACTTTGTAAAAAAGAGAAAAAAGAGATGAAATAATAGCTTCATGGGTTTTTTGTTGTTGTTGTTGTTGTTTTTTCCTAATGGGAATATAAATGCCTCACACTGAATCAAACTAAAAGTTTGGACCAGCTGGCAAAATAGTGGCTAAAGCAGCTAGATCCCACATGGCCGACTATGCACTTGAGTCCCCGATCCAGTAACTTGGAAAACACACTGAGTGCATGTGCAGGTGCCTCCAAAACCCTGATGGGGTGCTTTCTCGCTTTCTCTTTCTGTCTTGGGCAAGTGCACATGCCCTCTAGCAAATTTTTTTAAGTTCATTTGTTTACCACAGTTCTGTTTTTCCGAAGGATGAGGGATTGAAGTAATGGGATTAGAGGGATAACTTGGTTAGGAGAAGGCTGTTTTCAGTTTAAGGTGAGGATGAGGTATAAAAAAGAATAGAAGTGTTCTTAATTTTTTTTGCCTTTTGATAAAGAATAGAAATTTATTTAAACATTATTTGGAAATTCATGATAGAGCACACGCAAGTAAGGGGGAGAGGAAGGAGAAGAAATGGGAGAAGGGAGAGAGGAGACTCCTTCATGGTGCCTAGTCATGCTATGATGCCCTGTCTCTAGTCCTCCAGCCTTTCAGGTTCTGGGCAATTACACCTGTGTCTCAGGCCAGCCTGTCTGGAAATTGGAACTGTAGTCGCCGTGTGGCTTCTAGCACTGTAGTCCGACATACAACTGCCTGTGCCAAGAATAAAATGTCGAATTGTCTAATTTATTGAATGATTTTATATAATGCTTTATTTATGCTCACGTGCATACATCCATTTACAGACTTTTAAGACCCAGAAGGAAAAAAGGAAGAGAAGGGATTGTGGCGTGGCCATCCTCCCTTGGGGGGGTGAGGTGATTTCTCACTTTCCCTCTTTCTGTCTCTGTCTCCACTCAACTTTCCACAGTGAGTGCATGTGCTCTAATGGCAAAAAAAAAAAAAAAAAAAAAATCTTAAAGAACAGAAGCAAAAATAAAAACTAACCTTTATTGATTGCTTTCTGGAAATGGGCCAGGCACTGTGCTAAATATATAATATTTTCCTATTCATTTTTCACAATAGCTTTCTTCAGATGGTATACTTTCCATTTTTACATAACAGGAAGAGGGCTTGTATTAAATATCAAGTGACTTGCCCAATATCTTACAACTCACAAGTAGAGCTTTACTCCAAAGTCACTTTACATATGGACTTGACCACAATATGTGTATGGAAGAATGGAGAGTGTCATTAATTATACTGGCAATAGGGTTTATTATATTAGGATGTCAAAAAAGTCATGACACAGTTTTGCCTAGAAAGCCTTATAGGGGCTAAGAGGTGGCATGACGTGGTGGTTAAGGGTGCTGAACTCCCACATGGCTGACCGCGGTTTGAGTCTCGGACCAGCCTGGCAGCTTGCTTTTTCACTTTCCCTGTCTCTCTCACTCTGTCCCTCTCTGGTCAAATTAGAAAAATATATAAATAGTAAAGTTAAATAAAATAAAAAAAAAAAAACAAAAAAAAAAAAAAAAAAAAAAAAAACCTTAAAAAAAATATGTCAGGACTTTTCCAACAACCCATTACTATTCTTTTTTTTTTTAAGAGAGATTTTTGCTGTAGGACTCGTGAGCTTACCAAAGAGACAGAAAGCAAGAAATCACCCCCTGAGGGATGGCTGCACTGCAGTCCCTTTTCCTCTTTTCTCCTCTTGGGATTTTGGGCATGCACACACACATGCCCAATGTGAGTTTTAAGCTGCCGGGTCTGGAACTCAAACTGCAGTCAACTATGTGAGAACCCAGCGATGTAACCATTACACCATCTGCTGGTCCTCCTCATTACTATTCTCTATTGTGTACAGTTGAAATTTTTATAATGAGTATTACATAAACTTGCTCTTATTGAATTACATGTTTTATCATGTTGGGGCTCTAAAGTTTGAATCCCAAACGTGGGTACTTACTTACTGGCTGTATAATCTAAGTGTTTGTGACTTTAATATTCTAAACTTAAGTTCCCTCATTTAAAATACAGGAGTAATAATTGGGCCGGCCTTGTAGCACAGGGGTTAGACACTGCATAGAGGAAGCGGAGGGTTTGAGCCCTGGTCCCACTGTGGGTGCCCACACACATTCTCTTTCTTTCTTCCTCTTGCTCTCACTTCAATGCTTGTGCCCTCTGGCATAAAAAATGTCAGTAATAAAAAGTAAATACAAGAATAATAAAAATATTCACCTTAGTGGTAACATGAAATGAAACCTCCATGTTTCAAATGTTTAACATAATGCCTGTTCATTATAAGCACTTGACAAATAATTACTGTTTCCTGGACAGGCTGATCATCATTATTAACTGTAATCACATGGCACACTGGGCATCAAGTGTTTTCTGTATCCTCTCTCTCAATTCTCACAGCCGTCTTGTAAAGCAGAAGAAATGAAAAAGTTGATATGAGAAGAGATTAAAAAAGTCAAGGTCACACAACTGAGTAATGGTGAAACGGGGATTTGAGGACTGGCTTAATTTCACAATTACTATAAATTCGTCTGATTTTTACTTGGAAGATAGAAATTTGATGTTTTAAACTATATATAACTGTTAAGGTTGTCAAAATCAATTGTCAGAGTCTTTAATTTCAAGTCAAATGCAATTTTAATTGGATGGCCTTATCTCTAGCTCCATTTTTATAAATTTAGAGTTGATCATGATCACTGAAACATGCATGTTTTTATTACAAGCAAACAGCTATTGGTTGCTTTTTCATGGTAACATAACAGTTTGGTTTTCATTAGTTGCTGCTGCTTTTGCTATTTTTCAGGTCGACATAGTTGTAGGCACTCCAGGAAGACTAGATGATTTGGTGTCGACTGGAAAGCTGAACTTATCTCAAGTTAGATTCCTGGTCCTGGATGAAGCTGTATGTTGAAATATAGTCATGCTTTAAAAAACGTTTCTTTATTTTTTGAAATAAAATATCTAAAATTAAAAAAATACAGTTCTATCATGATCCCACTACCTAGAGATAATCCTTGTTAGCAGTTTGCTATATTTTCACACTCATTTTATATATATATGTGTGTGTGTGTGTGTGTATATATATATATATATTAAAAAATATGCACACACACATGCATGTACATATACATATAATTTTACACAGCTGTAATCAAGTTTTGAGGAATCTAGGAAATAAATGTTAATGTGAGATCATAAATATTTCACGTCATGTTTTATAAATAATTTTTAAAAGCTGTCTAATGGTTTATCATAAAGTACTTCAGAGCTTATTTAACCACTCTTGTTACTAGATATGTAGGTGGGTTTTCTTTTCACTCCAAATAGCCATCTTTGTATTTTACACATTAGTGTTTATTTCTTTATGTCAGAGTTACAAAATGTGAACCATTTAGAAGGACATAAATGTGTTTGAAGCTCTTATGACATACTTCCAAATTATTTTCAAGGTGGCTCAAAGTAATTTCTTAGCACTGAGAGTTTCTTATTTTCCATCCTAAAATCATAGACTTAAGGATCTGTGCTAGAAGCTATTAACCCTCGTATTCCTAGAATATTTGAGAAAGGTTTGGGGTGGTTTATTGTTGTTTTTTCATATTTTAGTCACGAGGAACGTAAAGTGGAATTTAGAACTTGTCTTGAAATGCAAGTAGAAAGTCATCTTTGTGAACATATCGAGATATGTGTGTGTATAATCTCCTTATTTTATATTTGATCTAGAATAAAGTTCTCAGTACCGATTAATTAAACACTTAGTTTTCCTTTGCTTCTTCTGCAGGATGGACTTCTTTCTCAAGGCTATTCTGACTTTATAAATAGGATGCACAGTCAGATTCCTCAGATTACCTCTGATGGGAAGAGACTTCAGGTATAAAATAACTAGTGCATTTTAAAATAAATGGAGGTAATTGTTATGTGTTCATACTTATGAGCATGGTCAGAGGTTTTCATCTCAGTGTCTTTTAATTACTATATAAAAATTTTTCTTTGTTTACTAGACTAAATATGATACACACAAAGGTAATAGTCCTAACAGCTGCTTTTAGACATAAAGAAAAGGAAACTCAGGCAAGCCTGTGGTACGGTGGTTAAGGCATTGGACCCTACAAGCCCGACTCTGTGTGCAGTTCAAGGGCCAGCCTCGTGGCTTGAAAAAACATGCAGGAGGGCCAGCAGGTGTCATAAAGGTACTGGGGGTCAGCAGATTGCATAGTGGTTGAGGTGCCTGACTCCTACCTGGCCAACCACAGTTCAGGTTCCAGACCTGGCTGCTTAAAAATCACACCAGGCTTGTGTGCATGTGTACCCAAAATCCTAAGAGAATTGAGGAGAAGGGATTATGACATAGCCATACCCCTGGGGGATGATTTCTCCCTTCCTCACTCGGTGTCTGTCCCTCATGGAGAATGATTTTTCACTTTCTCTCTGTCTCTCTCCAGAGAGTACATGTACCCTCTATCAAATTAAAAATAAAAAGCAAAGAGGGGCCAGCCAAGTGGGGTATTGATTAAGGAAGCTGGATCCCACATGGCTGGCTGCATGGTCTGAGCCCTGGACTTGATGGGCTGCAAAACATGCTGGGCATGTGTGAACGTGTCTGTTCCCAGAATCCCAAGAAGAGAATGGTGGAGAAAGGATTGCAGTATGCCCTCCTTCCTGGTGGCAGGGAGGTGATTTCTCACTTTCTCTTCTCTATCTATGGTGAGCACATGTACACTATAGCAAAAATTTCATTAAAAATTTTTTTAAAAAAAGCAAAGAAAGAAATTTAAGGAAATCACTGACATGTTACAAAGATGATAAAAAAGTTTGTTTTTAATTTCACAGCACTTAGAGCTTACACTCCAGATTGTTGGTATAGTTTGCTGTTTAAAAGAAGAGTAACTTAGAACCAGCAGTTAGCTTAACGACTGTGTCACTGGACTCCTATGTGGTCAAGCGTGGTTCAAGTCCTGGACCCAGTGGCTTGAACTCATGCCGTGCGCGTGTGTGTGTGCCCAAGATCCTGAGGGGAGAATGGAAGAGAAGAGATTGCGGTGTGGCCATCCCCCCTGGGGAGTGATTTCTCGCTTTCTGTCTCTCTGTCTCTCTCAGTCTTTCTGGGAAGCGCATGCGCCCTATAGTGAAAACCTCTCCAAAGAAAAAGAAGAGAAAGGAAAAGTAATTTCAGCTATTGAGAAAAGTGTTTTTATTTTGTTATTATAAAATAAGACGTATTGAAATTTGGATTTTTTTATTCTTAGGTGATTGTTTGCTCTGCTACTTTACATTCTTTTGATGTAAAGAAGCTGTCTGAAAAGATAATGCATTTTCCCACATGGGTTGATTTAAAAGGAGAAGATTCCGTTCCAGATACCGTGCACCATGTTGTTGTCCCAGTGAACCCCAAAACTGACAAACTCTGGGAAAGGCTTGGAAAAAACCACATCCGGGTACGCCCTTTATATTATTACCATGTGTAGAATAAAGCACCGCATGAGCTAACTCGGCCTCGAGGTCTTGGCTCTTTGTGATGCTCAGTGCAGGTGCGGACTCTACCAAGGAAAAGCGAAGCTCAGTACAGTGACCGTGAGAGTTTATGTCTTTAAAAAGGCTCTACTTGATGGGCTTCATTTTTTACTTCTTTCTCTTTATAAAATTATTTTTGTGACCAGCTTCTTTGATGAAATTTCATGCATAAGATTACTTATATATGATTTCAGATGTTGTAATTACCATGTTTAGTCGTAATTAATAAGAACCCTCATCTTTGTCCTCTGAATATGATCAAACATGAACAAGACATAGATTTCCTGTGGCCACCTTGTCACTGTTATTAGATTTACCTTTATATAATGATATGTTTATTACAGCTATACAATATTCCAGAAAGTACATTCACATTTTTATTATTCCATTTAAAATTGATTGCCTTATTGCTTCCTGGCCTTTTGGCTAAGATCAAGTGTAAAATTGATTGCCTGAATCCTTTAGTTAATGAAGGGCTTTTCTGAATCTGGAGAATGGCTTTGTCTACAGTTTAGACGACATGTCAGTAATGCAGTATAAAGATTTCTTACAGTCTCTTTAAGAAGATGACACCTGTCTGAATCATTACTTCACCATTCCCCACTCAGTTTATCACTTGTTTTTGACAGACCGATGACGTACATGCAAAAGACAACACGAGACCTGGTGCTAACAGCCCAGGTAAGTTAAACAAATTTAATAAAAAGCGTTGACAGATTTTTGGAAATGAATCATTTCACCTTATTTATTGAACCTACGCCCTGTCCTCATGAATGATGTGACATGACCCACAAAATTGAAAATAAAAGCAACACAATAACTAGAAATGAGTGTAAAACTAGTCAATTTAGAGGAATATTAGTCACTGAATTTAGATATTAGTGTCCTGGCATGTAAATTACAAATACTTTGGATTGTAAAATTTTCATTGATTTAGGAAAGCAGCAGATTTTTCTGAAGGTAGATTTTATAATTGCTTTGAATTCCAGAAGAAATGTCATGTAGGTTCTTCAAATTGGGAACCAAGAAAGATAAATGTCTTTAACTACAACTTTGTGCAAAGTACAGAAATGATCTTGAAATAGTTGTTTATTTTTCTTTGTTTGTTTTAAAATACTCATAACAAGGTTCGCCATTTTAACAACTCTTTAGTGTAATAGGTATATTTGTGTGGTGGTGTTACTATCAATCATCTCAAAACTTTTCACCCTCTCAGGCTAAGACTTCATACCCATGAAATGTTTGTTAATTTTTAGAAAGCCTAACATTAAATCTTGAGTTAGTGAAGGTATTTATGCGGAGCTGAGAGAGTTTGTTAGATACATAGTGTTCTGAAGATGTTCAAAGGTACATCGTGATATAAGAATGGTACTTTGAGAGCTCAAAAGGATAAGTCTTAACCCCATAAAGCTGCATGTCTGATGTCAGATGTCTCAGGGATCCTTGGCAAGGGTCAGGCAGCATTTTCTCCATGGTTAAATTCACTGGTAGGTTCCTGACATGTCTCTCCAAGGTAAATGATCTCATATTAGATATTTGAGGAGCAATGACTATAGCATAGCTTCATGCTGAAAAACAGAGGTCTGGAGAATGATGGGTAAGAAACTCCTAACTAGGTTTGGCGTTAGAATTCCTATTCCATAGAGTGAAGTATGAACTTTCTGGTGTTCAAATTGATTTAGAAAGTACAACAGTTATTTTTAAAGAAGAGCTCAAATAGTAAATTTGAATAGTAAATTTATTGAGCATTTAAGAAAGCAATGGAAGACAGAATGTGACTGGCTCTTTCTGAGAGATGAAAACGAAGTGTTGGTGTGGGTGTGTATTCCCGCTAACGGGTGGCACGTAGGTGTGTTCCCTCGTAAGAGTTATGGTTATAGGTATTTGTATACCCCATAAAGGAGCCTAAAAATCATTAACAAAAACAAAAATAAATTAATGAATGGAGTCTGACCCATTAACTCAGTATTTCACCCTATTTTATTACTTCTTATCATAATAGTTGAACTAAAGCAAATTATTTTAGGAGAGGTAAGTAATAAGTCTATAACTGTAATTACGTGTGTTGCTAATGATTTCTAATTGCAATTTTGTTATTGTTTTGCTGTTGTTGCGGTCTTCAAGAGATGTGGTCTGAAGCTATTAAAATCTTGAAGGGGGAGTATGCTGTCCGGGCAATCAAAGAACACAAGATGGATCAAGCCATCATCTTCTGTAGAACCAAAATTGACTGCGATAACTTAGAGCAGTACTTTATGCAACAAGGAGGAGGTGATGTTTCCTTACTTGACATAAATCATGTTTATTTCCTAATTTAGTAAATTACTCGTCTTTGGTTGACATTGTCTAGAATGTATGCATAGGATTTAAAGCAATAATGGCACATCATGAGTATCTGTGCTTATCCAGTAGTTTTCCATATGGTAAGCCCCAGGAAAAACAATGAGAATTTTCCACATAGGTACATGTTTATTACATAAACATGAGTCACAGCATCTAAGGCCCTTGCATCATTTATGAGAAGGGAAAGTTATTTATTAACTTCGATATTAAAATTTAAGAGTATAATCACTAAAACAATAGAATGTATACCTTTTAAACCAATAAGTGGGGTAAAGGGAATAAGGAAAGAATTCTAATCTACACAAGGCTTAGAAAATAGAAAACAAATTTTGAGAAAAATAACAGAAAATTACAGAAAAAAGCTCCAGCCGTGGTGGCACTGGTGTGGGGTGCTGCTGAGCAATGCTGTAGCCATGTGAGAAGTGCAGGTTCAGATCGTGAGTTGACTTGAGCACATGGGGTATGTCCCGTGATTCTGGCTGGCTAGGAGGGCTGTTGGAAGTGAGACCATGTGACGAGAATCCATCAGAGGTTCCTGTCTCTGCCCCTCCTTCCTCCCTACCCCTCATGAAAGAAGTAAGTCAAATAAACTTAAAGAAAAAGAACTTACAGAGTAAGATAAATGGTAGAAGAATCTGAATATAGTGGCCCAGCCTTGACAGCACAGGTGCTAGCATACCTAGCTGCTATGCTGGAAGCCACATGTTCCAACCTGGGTTCAAATCCTCTGTTCACCTGAAACTCACTGGGTACATACACCCAAGATCATGACTAGCTGGAGGGCTTGGGGAAGGGGAATTGTGACATGAAAGTCTCTATCTCTGTCTCCCCTCTATTGTGTGCACATGTAGACAGCTCACACTGTCTCGTGAAAGCAGAACAAATACTAAGTATCAGTGACCTGAGATCTCTGTTAAGCTGCATAGTTAGGCTGCATGTTATCTAGGTCAATGCTTTTTTACAAGGATCATATCTAAATCTGAGGACATAGAAAGATTAAAAGCAAAAGAAATGAAAAACTGTATATTGGGTTATTGGAAAAGTCATGATGCCTTTTTGTGTAGGAAAACATAGAAAAATACATCATGACTCTTCTGATGACCCAGTATGTCAGCCAAGATATTAGCCAAAGAAAAGTTTGTCTAACCATAATAATAAGAGATGCAGTAGAATTATGATAAAATATGACTAGAAATAAAGAGGATCCCAATGTATTGGGTCATAGGAAAAGTTATGGCATAATTTTCTGTTTTTCTGTGTAAAAATGTGTCATGACTTTTCAGATGACCCCATAATAGAATATTCAGTTTGTGGTGAAGATAAGAGACAGACAGAAAGTGAGAAATTACACACATATACCCCCCAAGGGCGATGGCCATGCCACAGTCCTTTTTCTGTTCTGTAAGTGTACTTTGTAGGGCTGATAGTAATGTTCTGTACCTCTATGGGATTTTGTCGAAGCTCAGCAGATGTATATTTAAGCTTGTTTATATTTCCTTGGATGCAACTTTTACCTCAAAAGAAAAAAACTGAACAAATACTGACTTCTAGTTACTGTCATACTTGCTGAACCTTGAACCGCATGCTGATGTCTGCAGTTTACAATGAAATATATAAAAAATGTAAAGGTGATTTAATAGAAGGAAAGAGGGATGGTTAAATGTGCAATAAAACAAATACAGTAAAATGTTCATGGTAAAAGTAACATATCTATCAAAATGTATATATTTTTTTGAATCCTCAAGTATACTTTATTGAACTTTGCTACGTAAGTGGCATAATTGTTATTCTGAGCTGTCTCTTAGTGATGTCTGTAGGTTCAATTCTATTCCAAAAGGCTGCCCTTCCTCTGATCAGAACTGAACTTTTCTATATTACTACGCTTACTTGAGGAGTAGGTAGGAGTTGACTGCCTTATACCTGCCTCTAAACTAGCTCCTCTCCATCCTTCCATTTTACTGCTTCTACTCCGCAGTGGCCAAGAAGTCACATAGCTTGAGTTGCTAAGAACACCTTGGAAGAGTGTAGGCTTATGGGTATAGCCTTATAGAAAGGGCGTGAACTTCATGATGTTTGTTTGGATTCTTTCAAGAATGATCTTTTTAACCTACTTTTTGGCTCTTAGTTTTATTTATGTAGGACATGAGATTCCTGGTGTACACAGTGTTTTTAGCTAACACAGCTTTATCTACACCTTCTGCAGATGGGGGAAGGGGGACTTAAGGTGTCCTTAAAAGCAGATCAATTTTAATGCTTTATGGAGTTCATTTTAATGACATCTTTCCTGGGACAGAAATTGTGTTAACCATGGTTTATGGCAAGTTGAAATATAGATTTTCATAGAATTATATGGTGCTGTTGTAGTCTGGGTTTTATTGGCTTTTTGCCATAGCCTCAGGCATAGCATTTTCCAAGGTTAAATGTTCAATGTGCTTTTCACTAGGACCTGATAAAAAAGGACACCAGTTCTCATGTGTTTGTCTTCATGGTGACAGAAAACCCCATGAGAGAAAGCAAAACTTGGAAAGATTTAAGGTACTGATATTTAGTTGACTATATTTCTTTAGTACCTAGGAGGGGAATTATATCTAGTTTTAATCAGTTTAAAGTAATATTATTAAAGCAATTCTTGTCCTAGAAATTCCAAAATATTTCCACCCTAACTAATAGATCTTTTTTATGGCAGGAATTAGTCATCTTGACACTTAGACAGTAAATTACACGTTCGCTCTCAGCACAACAGTACTGCAATAATTTTCAGCTTAAAAAAAGTTTTAGTGAAATTCTTTCAGGTAGATATTTTTAGAAGTATCATTGGATATTTATTTATTTATTTATTTTGAGAGAGAGAGAGATTTCTGCTATAGGACATATGTGCTTGCCAGACAGGCAGAAAGTGAAAAATCACCCTTGGGAGGATGATCACAATCCCTTCTCCTCCATTCTCCTCTCGGATTTTGGGCATGCACACCATGAGCACAGTGTGAGTTTCAAGCCGCCGTCTGGGACTCGAACCATGGTTGACCACATGGGAGTCCAGCTCCTTCACCACCATGCCACCTGCTGGTCCCAGTATCACTGGATACTTCTAGATTAATTTAAGCCAGGAATCAGAATATGGTTTTGTAGAACTGAATATATTGATATTATGTGGACTTACCTTCCCAGCTGTGTGCTCAGAGCACATGAATGGGTTATATAACTCTTGACGTAGGTGGGTCAGGCTCGCGCCTCTTAAAAACTGACGGTCAGTAACCTCTACTACAGATAGTCCCATCCAGCATAGAGTACACATGCATTTCCTCGGACCCATAGTATGATCCATGCTGGGCTTTGTAATTGGCATAGAATGTTACAAATATCCCATTGCCTCATTTTACTATATTTGCCACCTTCCTTTTTCTTGGGCATTGGATGAAAAGTCCCCTTGCCCTTCCTTGCTCTTCCAATCTCCAGTTTTCCTATGTCATGGGGCACAAATGACATCCAGAGGCCAATTTGTATTTCCTTAGTGAGCACTAGACCCCACTTCCTATACCTTCCTCTTTAGGATTTGACCTGTTGTTACAAAAAGTATAACCTTAAGGTAAAATATCTAATATTCTCAGTTTATTTAATATAAGAATAAAAAGAATGCTTATATTTATGATTTTATTTATTTTATCCTTCTCTTGAATTTCTAAAGATAGTTCTAAGATTAAGGATTCCTAATGATAAAGCCATCGTTATTTCTACGGTTTAATATCTTTAATGTAAGAAAAAAATGAATGAAATCAGTCATGATTTACTCACTTTACATGTAATCTTTTAGCAGATCCTAACATAAACTTCAAGACCTGGCCAGTAAATTATGAGTGACTGGGTCTCTGATCTGATAGTAACACTTTAAGTATTAGAGGTCTCACTTAGTGGAACAATACTGTTTGTTTGTTCACATAAACTAACAAATTTCTTTCTTCTCTATTCTCTTTAGAAAGGAGATGTAAGATTCTTGATTTGCACTGATGTAGCTGCTAGAGGAATTGATATCCATGGTGTTCCCTATGGTAAAAGAAATCTTTCATATCTAAAGTTTGAATTTTATGGAATCTAAACTAAAGCCATCTAATATGTTTGAAAAATTAAAAACTAACTGCAATTGGTAATAATTGTTTTTATTTACAGTTTGAAAAATTAAAAACTAACTGCAATTGGTAATAATTGTTTTTATTTACAGTTATAAATGTCACCCTGCCTGATGAAAAGCAAAACTATGTACATCGAATTGGCAGAGTAGGAAGAGCTGAAAGGTACTGCTGTAATTATCTCCCGCTTTTAAGCTTGTGCCCCAGGAATAAAGTTTAACAAAGACTTTATAAGTCCCTGGGTTTAAGGAATAAAGCCTAATAATGAATCTTTTGAAATCCTTCAGGATGGGTCTAGCCATTTCCCTGGTGGCAACAGAAAAAGAGAAGGTAATCTCTCCAGTGCTCTCACATTCGTCGTGCATGTTGAGATTTTAGATGGAGAAATTAAAGCAGTTTGACTTTTTCATTTGAATTGAATTCAGTTGCATGTGAAATATAAATGAACTTTTTTATGTCATCTTTTTATCAATATTCATTGACTAGAAAAATAGGATGAAGTTTAAAAAGGAAAAATGCAAAATATTATTTTTTTCTAATAGCCTTAATGTATTCATATTCACCAAAAAATATGTAAGTATCAGAGGATACTTTTTATTGGGAGAAAGAGGTGACTTATTTTGATAAATTACAGCTTATAGAATAGTTGCAGTTATAAGGAGCTTCCATATATTGCCTGAATTCTCCAGTTTTCTATTTTTTCCTATTTGCTTTGTTATTCTCTCAGAGAAAACGTTTGAAATTCATTTTTGAATTTAATGTGGACATGGTATTCTCCACTATTAATTTTTCATCCTTGTTTTATTCTAGAATTCCTTTCTGTAACTACTATTCATTTTAGAAGAGCTTCCAGATTGTTCTCAAAAAGAGCTTGAGAAGATCTATTTAATGAGCTTCCAAATAGTAGTAGTAATTGAATGACACATTATACCTACACCCTATTTTTCTAGTGCCTTAAGAACAGAAAATATGAAAAAACAAATTTAGAATAAGATGCTTACCATGTTTCTGTCTCTATACATGTTAGTATTTTTCTCTTTAATTTAGGTTTGGTATCATGTATGTAGCAACCGTGGAAAAGGTTGCTATAACACAAGACTCAAGGAAGATGGTGGCTGTACCATATGGTACAATGAGATGCAGGTAAGACTCACAAAAAGCTTATTAAAAATTGGTAAGGGGGACCAGTGGGTGGTGTAATGGCTACATCTCTGGACTCCCATGTAGTTGACTGTGGTTCGAGTCCCAGACCCGGTGACTTAAACTCACACCAGGTGCATGTGTGTGCATGCCCAGGATCCCAAGTGGAGATTGGAGGAGAAGGGATTGTGGCGTGGCCATCCCCCTGGGGAGTTATTTCTTGCTTTCTGTCTCTCTGTCTTTCTGGCAAGCACATGCACCCTTTAGCAAAAACCTCTCAAAAAAAAAAAAAATTGATAAAATAGGGGCCAGCTGATGGCATAGTGGTTAAGGCGCTAGACTCCCACATGTGTGATCATGGTATGGTTCCCCGACCTGGCGGCTTTGAAAATCATGCTGGGCATAGGGCTGTGTGCCTAAAATCCTGAACGGAGAATGGAGAAGGGATTGCATTTCCTTTTCACTGTCTTTCACTCTCTGGTGAGCACATTAGCCCTATGGTGAAAACCTGTTTTAGGGGCCAGCAGGTGGTGTGGTGGTTAAAGACGCTGGACTCCCACAGGGCTGATCTCAGTTCAAGTCTCAGACCTTTCAGCTTACTTTCCTCTCTTTCTCTCTCTCTGTCTCTCTATCTCTCTCTCTCTGGTCAAATTAAAATAAATAAATAAATAAAGTTAAATAAAATAATTCTTTTTTAAAAAAAAAATAAGAGAAAACCTGTTTTAAAAAAATTGGAAAAATAGACTGCATTTAGCTATAAAAGTTATGTTTCAACTTTTATTTGCTTGTCAATTATGAGGGTAAGTAGAGAGTAAGTGGTTTTAATGCTAGCTGAAATTGTAAATCGTAACTTGTGAGTTCATCTCCTCAGAAGTCTAATTTCTGTTTATACTAAGCATTCTGTCCTCTTCAGTTTTATTTAATGCTAAAATGCAACTCTTGTCCAAATGAAACTTTTATTTGGAAACGCCTTAATTTCCTCTTCCTTTTTCTTAGTTACTATCTGAGATAGAAGAACACCTGAACTGTACCATTTCTCAGGTTGAGCCAGATATAAAGGTACCTGTGGATGAATTTGATGGGAAAGTTACCTATGGTCAAAAAAGGGCTATTGGTGGTAAGCTTCAAATTATTTTAAATGTTATTCCAATGTGAATGTGCCCGTTTTGAACTTCACCTAAATAGAGCAATTCCATTTCATTATGCTGAGTGGGTCAATAGCATGTTCATCTGTGTCTCCTTATTTCTCGCTCAGCACTCTGCATCCCTGTCTTGTACGTTTGTACTGTGTGGTCTGTACATGAGCGAAAGACAGTGTCGTAGCGCTTTCTCTTAGTGTTGACATTGTAGGAGTAGTTGAACATTTTATGAAATTATTAGGAAATGAGTATACTAGGTGATTTTGAACAAGGAGTCAGCGGCCTTTGACATAATTCAAGCAGGTACCTTGCATAATATTCTTGTTGTCTGAGATGCCCTATGTTAACCTTGTCCCTGAGATTTTTCAATGTTTAGGTTAAGCTGGTGGTTTCTAAACCAAGGAAGGAGTCAGCAGGGATGTTGGGACAGCTATTAGTGAGGCCTATCATGTTTTAATATTGAAATCGATCTCACATTTTTAAAACTCAGAGTTTTGGAGGTAACTTGCCGAGTAGAAAGTTTTTATTTTGCTAGCAGCCATGTGTGTAGTATAATTGAGCTGAAGTATTGCTGACAAGTTATGTCAAGCATGTCACTTACATTACTTTGTAATTTCTGTGTGTGATGCAGGTGGAAACTATAAAGGCCATGTGGATATTTTGGCACCTACCGTTCAAGAGTTGGCTGCCCTTGAAAAGGAGGCACAGACATCTTTCCTGCATCTTGGCTACCTTCCTAACCAGCTGTTCAGAACCTTCTGAATTTCACATATACTGAATAAGATTTGAGTAAAAAAAAATATGTAGTCTTAAAACTCTAAAATAGTTGTACTGCTTCCAAGCAGCAGTATTTATAGTAACTTAAGCTATTAATGCGAACTCTTGCATGTCAAGAAACATTAGTCGTAGGAATTCCTCATAAAATGGTAGCCTAATGAAAATAAATTTGACAACTATATTTCCATGAAGCTTGTGTCTTATTTGAAAGTTATGTTGATATTTACTTTTTCTTTTTAAAAACTATTACAGATGTATGAAGTAAAGTTTATGGATATATGAATTTGGCAGGAGGCCTATGTAAACTAGTCAATATTCTGAACACAGGATTTTTCACAGGGAGTGGTCCTAAATGGAGATGATTTTCAGGTGATTACGCTTGTTTAGCTGTGTGTTAAAGCCGGAGAACTGAGACATGAAATGGGAATGGATGACTCCAAGGTAGGAGCACTGCTTGGTGGTTTGGAAACTGGGAGGTGTTTAGGGACTTAGAAAAGGCCCTTTGTCTAAGGATTGCTCACTGATGTGGTTATGGTGACAGTGAAGAAGTAGCTCTGAAAAATTACCTTTTTTAAGAACCTTTTTTTCTAGATGATAAATACTCACAAGCCTAATCTGCCGTCCCCCTAAGTCTTATAATCAAATGTCAACTTAATTCTTTGGAATATATTTCCTTAAACCCTGACACTTGCCTAAAATACTAGAAGGAAAAAGGAAATTTTTAAAACTTACAACTGAATTGTTATTTTGTGCTTTTTTGAGTCTAGTTTATAAAGTAGTTTCTTGGCAAAAATTATTCTTGCCTTAGAATTTCCTTAACAGCGCGGACTAATATAATTTCTTAGATGTTATTTTCAAACACTTTAACATGGAAATTATTTCTTCAGGTAAATCTTTGAACGAGACCCAGTATATAAACAGATAAAAGCTCTAGTGGGACCATTACCCTAACTCTAGTATGTACACATGGAGGTCAGAGTTCGCATGAAGGAGTCATGAGGATGCTGTTTTCTCACTGATCTCTCCAGACCACTTCCTTTGGAGGACTCTTAGACCTACCGTAACGAATGTCCAATCTGTACGATGACAGTTCTTTGCAGTGTTCATGTACATGAAGTTTTACTTGATGTAATAGCAAAAAAAAGACTGATTTTCAGACCACTTAAAGATCAGAGCTGAAAGAGACCTTCCCGATTATCTGGTTCCTGGCCTTAGTTTGTAGGCATGAAAGCTGAGTTTAGAGGAATAGAGTCTGATTGGTGGAACTGGAAATCGGACTTTGGCTTTCTGGTTTCAGCCTTTACTCTCTGGCTGCCTTGGGAAAATGATTCTCAGGTCTGAATGGGTAGGCCAGAGTGGAAAGCTGGGTAGAGCCACATGATGGGAGAAGGGGTTATTCAGTTTTTCCTCTTCAGTTACTGTCCAGCTGGAATTATCCCAGGAACTGTTCTCAAAGGAAGAAGCCATGTGTAACCAGGCCAGCAGAGGGTTGCTTGGAGATCTGACTTGCTCTTATTTTCTACTCGCGTCACTGTTAACTCTTCTCTTTACTCTTAGTCCCACGTCCAGACGCTAGTTCTTTCAGGCCTCCATCAACACTAAGGATACAAATCATCGTTACAGTCTGGGTAAGCTGTCACTGAGACTAAGAGATGCCCGTTGTCCCCCTTCTTCCTTTTAGTACTAGAACCTGTGTTTCAGTCGAGACCCTTCCCCAGGTTCTGTTCCCTGGGGCATGAAGTTACAGTGATGTGTACAACTTCTGGGTTGTGACCTCGTCTCTCAGGCTGGAACTTGGATGTGGCATTAGGGAGCCTGTTACCTCCATGAGAAAAGTGATACTTACGCAGTGACAGAGCAGTAAGACAGAAAGGATGTGGCCAACCTTGGGAAAAGGAGCTGCCCACCCTCCCTGGGCTGTCTGGCACAGTAACTTGCTCATATCTGAGCCGCTGCGTGCAGGTCTCCCTTACAGAATTTTAGCCACACACACCCCTGCCCTCCTAGGGCTGACACGGGGGGTGGGGGTCATGGATGCTGGACTCACATATGGTTGACTGCGTTTCGAGTCCCAGACCTGGCGGCTTGCTTTTTCACTTTCCCTGTCTCTCTGTCTCTCCCTGGTCAAATGAAAATAAATAAATAAATACATAAATAAAGTTAAATAATTCTAAAAAAAAAAGAAGAAGAAGAATTTTAGCCCATACCCTAGGCAATACAGTATGCAAAAGTCCTTTAAAAGCCCAGAACTTGTTGAATGTTAACCTTCAAATGGCACTATTCCTGACTCACAGTCTCAGCCTTGTCTGTAGTGTAGGAATTTAGAAAGGTACTCACAGCTCCGGTGTCTGGCTGGCTGTCAGTCCCCTCTCAGCAGAAATGCCAAGACTTGCCCCAGCTCCTCCACATGGCAGACACGGCCTGCAGTCTTCGAGTCTCAGCACGTTCCTCCTCATTAGGTCTCTGGTCTTTCTTTCACTGCTTGCTCTCTGCGAAGATTCTTCAGACTTTGAGTGCTAGTTGCATTTCCATAGTGACTGAAGTGGTTTTGCTTTGGGATGTGTTCGGGGAGCTGTTTCAAATCTTAATAAATGTAAGTGTTCTGCTCTCACTCACATTTATGTCTTCGCTGTGTTGCTAATCTGGAAGGTCCTTTGCATACCTTATTCGGACAGACCCACTTGAGAGCATAGGAAACCAAGTAAAAGGGCCAAATGCTTTCATTGCTGAGGGGTGTTTGCCTTCAGAGAACTGACTCTTTTTTTTTTGAGAGGTTTTCACTATAGGGCGCATGCGCTCGCCAGACAGACAGAGAGAGACAGAGAGACAGAAAGCGAGAAATCACCCCCCCAGGGGGGATGGCCATGCGGCAATCCCTTCTCCTCCATTCTCCTCTCGAGATCTTGGGCACACACGCACACGTGCCCGGCATGAGTTTTAAGCCACCGGGTCCGGGACGCGAACCGCAGTCAACTACATGGGAGTCCAGCGACATAGTCATTACGCTAACTGTTGGTCCTGAGAACCGACTCTTCTTAAGGATTCTAACCACTGACCTTGGTTTTAAAGCTGCCTAAACCTTTCTGTACCTCATCCTCATCTTTTCCTGTTATAAACAAAAACATGGAAACTTTCGATTAGAGTAATCCTCATTCCTTGTCACTTTTTATTTATAGTCTAACTCCCAGAGAAAGTCACTGACATTTGGTTCATCTGTGTGTATGTGTGTGTGTGTGTGTGTGTGTATAAATTTTGGGGTATGTAGTTCAGATCATACTTACGTATAATTTTGGATCTTCATTTAACATTAGCATTTTCCCTGTAGTAAGTACTCGAACCATCACATAATGCGTTGAATGTGCCGTGGCTTATGTAACCATCGCTCCATTACTGCTCGTGAGCACCGAGGGAAATTGAAGAGCAGGTGAACTTCAGAACAGTAGGTCCAAATTTCATTGCGCCTCTACCCCATACTAGCTGTGTGACAAGACATCAGCCTTTCTAAGCTTCAGTTTTCTGAAAATGGCAAAAATAATTTGCATCATTCAGAAGTATGCTAAACATTCAACAAAATGTCCAATGGTTGAGAGGCATGCAGACCGTATTTAATAGTATTTATACCGTGCACATTTTTCTTGGTTATGTGCCCTCATACTCCTGGCCCCACCACCATCAGAGCAGATTACAGACAAGGGCATAGACTTGGTTTAAATAAGGTTGCAGGGTTGTTTTGTTTTGAGGTTGAAATGTATGTAGTAATGACAGAACCACCCAGATTAAGGGGGAAGAAAAATTGGTTCCCAGCCAATTCAATGGGCAAAACTATTTAATAACATTCCTCGGCTTGTTCAAATTTAAACGGAACTGTGCCCCGAATTGTAGTTTGAATGAAATATGTAGAATATAAAAATGTGTAAGTAAATATAAAACGAGATCTGGGATAGGTTTTCTTACGGTAACTATATCATTTTTCATAAATATTAACAATTTCTAAAGTACTACCAGGAATTTTTTTTTCCAAGTGACTTTATTTTGGGGAAAAAGGGATATTTGGTAGAAGGGAAAAAATGTAGTGGAACAGGAAGGAAAGGGAGGGATACTATTTGGCTTTTCCAAAGTAATTGATACAGGATTCTTTTCGAGGGAGGAGTGGAGGAGGAATTTCTGCAGTTGTTTTCCATACTATTACTTTAAATAATGACTTCATTTAAAATCATCTGATGATTTCATTTTTCAGTTGAGATACTATTGACAATCAGAAGTATTGAGGGGAATTTGAAAGACTAGGTGTAGCAGGCCTGGGTTTGATCCCGGCAGCAGTTAGCGACTTCTGGCTAGCTACATCACCCACAGAGATCATTAGGTCTAAGGGGGGGGGGGGCAGGGATCTGCATTTTAACAAGTTCCTCGGGTGATTGTGTCCATGGAGATGGCCCATGAACTACAATTCAAACAGCCCTGTTACAGAGGAAAGGCTCTGTTACCAAAAACTCAGGCAAGATGATTCAGAAGCACGTCTGAGAGACATGCTGGCCGTTCTAGACTCGTCCGTCTCTCGTTCACAGAGATTCTGATTGAGCTGTCCTGGGGTGAGGGCTGGGTGCCCAGCCGATGCTAGCGTGCTGCCAAGGTCAAACTCCAACTGTAGTGTTTTATTTATTTATTTTATACCAGAGAATGTATATGCACCAGAGAAAGAACTTTCCAGCGGGGCCTGGTCATACTGTGATCCTTTTTCCTCCAATTGTCCATTCTGACAGAATCCTGGGCACATGTGTGCACACCCAGTGTGTTTTTCAAGCTAGTGGGGCAGGGATTTGAACCCTGGCCAAACATGTGGAATTCAAGTTCCTCTGTGCACTGCCTTAAATGCTGTGCTTTGGGGCCATCCTCTGCATGTTTCTCGGTCATGTTGTAAATTAGTGAGTTCCTTCTATCCAAGCTAATATGTTCCTTAAGGTTAGATATTGTTTAGGCTCAAGCTAGAACTCATGCTATCGTATTATGCAGTGGACATTAACTGAGAAAACCGTTGTTAAAAATCGGTGCCATGTATAATTTCTGAGAAACTAGTAATATTTTTTAAATAAATTTTGTAGTCAAGTGGGTTGAATTTTTAAAATAGTCACTTTGGGGATTTAGATGTGTCTTTTAAAGGTGCTGCAGTTTTTCAAGACCTGATTGGCCTCTT